CCATTAAGCATCGTTCTTTCCTGTAACAAAGATGAAATTACTTTTCTTGAGTATTCAACTATTTTTGCTGAGAACATTCGCAATTCAAAATTAGAACTATGTTTGATAAATGTGACTGCGAAGAAATTCAAGAGTAGATCAAAGGAGGGGAATTAAGATAGCATTTTATCATTTCAAAAATAGTTATGCTCATCAAAGGGTTGACGACATGATATTCACGCAGTATGAAAGCCTTCACATCCACCGCTTCTGGTGTAACATTTCACAGTAATCAACATGGCAATGAGATAAATTAACTGAAATTCAGCTGAACAACTCAATACTTGAGTAATGATAACGAAAAGATATGCGGATCATATGATATTGTTTTGATTGAATCGGTTTCAATGAACTTGTTTATGTTTTGATGAACGCAACGAAAACAACTGACGCCGTCTAAAAATATTGAAAAAAAATTCCAGCTAATGATGTATTTTATTACCAGCTTGCTGTTATTGATAATTTTCATCGCAACTACCATCACTGCTCCTCATGTGTCCAATAAAATTCATCGTTTGCTTCCACAAACCGATAGAATATCCCATCATATACCACTAGTAATGAACAAACGTCGATACTTCAATGCATAAGAATAGTAATTTTTGCGATGTTGTCATAAAGAGCCATATCAAACAACCACATAAATGTGCAATTGTATTACCGAGGTCACTATGTTTGACGAGAATGACACTGAATAAAGTCATCATTAAAATCGAATGATTACTTTACCAGCNCTGTTGTTGCTTTGCGTTTATTTGATCACTTAAACATCTTTTATCTTGATCTCTTTTAGAACAACATCTTGAGGGTTGTTACTCAAAATTTTTGATAGAACTTTAACATTAATAGTGTTTGGATCACACTGGCCTACTGATTGCTCAGTTGGAACATTCTCGTAAATGTATTCTTATATTACGCAACTCAAACAACATGCTTACAAGATCTATCCAATCCGTGCCAGTTGCGCCTGCTAATGAATAAAGATAAGCTTGACTCATTTTTTGACTTTTCTATTGTATCACAACCAAAATGCTGAATATCGTGCAATGCTATCGAGCACAGATATAATGTTTAATAAATCATTCGGAACACTATACACTGAACACAGAATGCATTAGGTTACAGCACATTATATGATAATGGAAAGGGTAATCGAATAACTATAATAATAACGATAAGAGCGATAATGATGATAATCAGTACGTATAAACGAATGCAATACAGTCAGATATGACAGTATACAGAAACTATCAAATACAATACAAGATAAGAACAGAATGATAATCAAATCAGAATCTATGTATCGAACGATATCTATCGAATATAGATATATGAAACAATAGAGTGGCACAACCCGTTCAACCATTTAAATCTTTTCACTTTTACTATTACAAATAAGTTCAACATAAGATGCAAAAACCTTACTGCAGACAGAACTAGTATTCTCATAATAACAATCCTATCACATGAAAAAGAAATTCGGGTCAGACTACAATATTAGACTAAATATAATTGAACTAACTGATGGCAACGCTTAGCAACATCGATACTAATACCGATCCTCTTTAAAATATTATTGACTATAATATTAATCACCTGCTACTACAAAACTGATCTCGAAAAAAAAACAAAAAAAAAAATCGCACGTCCATAATTCTACAGCACAAAAGAATACAACAGAGCAAGAAAAAGAGATTAGAGGCCGATTGCAATGAAATCGTAATGAATATTTGAATATGTAGCAATTGCAGCAATTCAACACAATCGCGTTTCATTTGCTCAGATTTACAATCAAATAAGAACCAAATGAACAGAATCAAAATGCATTTTTAAAAACTCATTCATTAACTAATCTGATACTGACACTGATGGTAGGGGATTGATTTTCTAAAATATACACTCTTCACTCTTACATTAGCAAAGTATCAAATCAAATCAGTGAAATATGGATTAAAATCTTTTCATTTCTGTCGAAGATCCACAACGGTCGCATCGACTGAGTGATCAAAATAAACATCTTCATTGTAAAATAACGAATTACTATTTTCGTGCGGATGAAATCCGCTCACTCGACACGCACCAACATCTTCCATACCACGTACAGTTAGACGAAATACGCCAACTCTTTAAAATAAATACCGTTATTGGAATTTGGAATTTGCAGTCGGATAAAAGTAATTTTAAATCAATAAATTCAAACTATTTACAGGTGTGCCAATATGGAGAACTCACAATTAACTTCAACCAAACATTTTTCAGATCAATGGAAGTTGCGAAAAGACTGTCAATCTTGACAGGATCGTGAGAATAATTCACAATTTCAAACTAGGAAAGTCAGTCAGTGCCTTAATATCTCCTACAAACAATAATTCTTTTAATCACTGCAAACATCTCTTTTTTGTTAGTGCAACTCACTGATGGTAGTGTGATATCATACGGCAACGTGATAATCATAAAGAGAATATTTCTTAAGAGGTGAAGTTATGATCATTTTAATGTCAAAACGGAATGCTTACTCCTTGAATTTGGGAGCAATAACGATGGCAACGGCTTCGGGCAACATCAACTGATAAGAGCATTGTGTATGCAAATCAACACTCGATAAAAATGCTGTTTGCGATGGGTGAGTCTGAAAATTTTTTTTCACGACAGCTGAACGAAATCGAGTCACATTCAGCACAATGACATATTCAATGGGATATTTTACACCTGCTGACTCACAGTTTCATGACAATTTCGATGTAATTCGTAATTTCGTTGGTAATACGGCATCATCCAATGGTGCTGATATTGGCTGTATCACGAAACAGTCATTGAATTGCGATGTTGCTATGAAGTGATATTGCTATGATGCACTTCAAGAAAATAATAATGATAATAATAGGCTAAACGATGAAACGAACATGAATCCATCCCAACGTGATCAGATTATGCGAATCTTGATATGCAAAAACTTCCTCCTCATTTTGCGTATCACAACTATCCGGTCCACCGTTTTGCTTTGGCACGACTGCATGCGTGATACGACACACACCATAGCTTATCTTCAAACACATACATTACTTCATCAGATTCGAACGCAATATTTCAGATTACTTCATTAAGTTTCACTACACTTACATATTGATCACAAACATATTACATATTGTATATTCCATGCGATCTAATGGAAAAAATTGCACTAAAAGAAACCAAGAGCGATGCGACAAATGAATAAGATAAGAGCGATCGAAATGATGAAAATATCGAATAATAATAGTAGCAGTATTTCACTGACAATACTCAGAGAAGCAATCACAAACCGGAGGTCCACACAGAATAGCACAAGTTTCAATATTCAAATCTGTGTTCTTTTGCGCAATCGATGAAAATCGTTCGATTAATGTGCCAGCAACCACTAATTTATGCTCTTTTTGAAGCTGTTGTTGATTGGCTTGACTTGGCGAACTGTAAAGTTTCCATTTTAATCATGAAACACAATGATAACAGTTTACATATGCAATTTTTACGAATAGTTTCGGTAAAATAACAATCTGATGTATTTAATAAATACAACAAATGAGCCAATGAAGAGCAAGAGCAACATTATCAAACCTTATTGCTGAATCGGAAAATCTCGGTGCTGGCTTTGGTTTGGGTCGATATTCAAGCTGATCAAAGACGATGTCATCCGTCGAGATGGCTGGGTCAATCAGTCGTGCTTGAGTGGCACCATCTTTTATCGACACANGAGTTCATCTGGAATTATTTCTCAGCAAATGAAGGCAAATAAATGACGAATGAAACAAATACCAATTTCTGTTGTTGTTTCTGTTGTAATTTGAGGGTTTCGATTTGTTTTTGAGCTTCAATCGAATCCTTTTCGAATGTTTCCTTCAAACGCACCTTCAACAGTTCAGCACATTCAAGCGCCTTACGCAGTAACGTATTTGCTTTGGTTCGTTCAGCCGAATTATGTGTTTTAAAATCCGGATGCTTTGGTAACTCTTCTAATGCTAAACTGAAATTTATCATCATTAATTTCAATCACAATAATTATAGTCATAAGTAACAATAATACTTTTTTAAAAATCATGACTACTAATTTGTTACCATTATGAAAAAACCAATCACTACTTTTTATGAATAGACGAATTACATTTTCAAAAAAAAACTTATTTAAATCACAACACAAACACTTAAACAGAGCAGTAAGAACAGAACTCACATCACAAATCGCATGTAATACTTGAAGGCCGCTTCAAATTCATTACTCTGAACACAATGACCAGCTATTCGAAACATTTCAACTAAACTGCGATAATACCTGAATTTAAACAAATTCAATCGAATGTTTCACTACATCAGATTCTTAGCTCACCATTGAACTGTAACATCTACACGAAGGAATTTTGTACATATATCTTTTATTATCGGTAGATAACAGGACCGAATTGCATAGAAAATTAATTACTGAAATAGAACAAACCGATTGATAGGTACGGCCACATTAATATCTGGTGGTTTTGCAGTCCTTGTCAGAGAATGAAGTCGCTCAACTGGATCCAAATGCGATTCCAAAATGTGAATTTGTTGGTCGATATCGTTGGTCATCCTTCGAATAATTATTGCTTGATCACATCAATTCAATAAATTCGTTTCAAAATTTTTAGTTCATTGACGAGTTAAGCTTATAAACATTTTAACACACAATCGCTTGTAGCTAAGTTTAACTGATTCCAAATCCCAGCATTAACTTACTTAGATAAGTCAATGTATCCATAGTTTGGAATTAACGCTTGATAACTCTACTTCCTCGGGGCATGATTAAAATCATAGTTGAAAAGCAATAATACAAATTTTACACCAATAACGTTTTCCAG